ATATTAAATAAATAATTTATTTTAAATTAGAAATGACACTTATAGAACAAATTAACTTTATTTCTTAATCAAAAAAAAATTTAAATAATAAAAATATATAAACTTGTTGGATTTTTTATCATCTATTGTACAATAACCGTCTATAAATAATTTTTTAAACACAAATAATTTTATTGAAACCAACAGCTTTTTAAAAATTTTTATTATTAAACTTTTTATAAATTACTTATGACAAACAGATATAAAAAAGAAAATACTAAGGTTGCAAATGATAATATTTATCTCAAAATAATTTGCTTATTTTTGATAAAACATAGAGGAATATAAAGACAAACATTTCCGAGATAATAAACATAATAAATAAATTAATATTGAAAATTTTACTTTACAAAAGATAATATTTTTTTTAATTTAAATGATCTTTTTTTATGAGTAAAATTTTAATCAAACAATTAATTAATAAAATTGAGAAAGACAAAATATTAATGAATTGAAAAAAAAATTTTACATCTAGAAAATGAAATATTAAAAATACCAGTTATTTTTAAAACCATTTTAAACTTATAGTTTGTTTACAATATAAAAATTTTTTAAAAATAAATAGGATATAATCCAATTTTTTTGATATTTATTATTCTCAAATACATTAGAACACTATTATTGGATTGTATACTCTTTAAATCAATTTCAATCATTCTCTATTTACAGTTCAAATATAATAATAGAATAGATATTTTTTAAAGTTAAAAATTTAACAAAAAAATCAAAATGAACAATTCTTTTACTTAACAATTATAAAATAATAATTTACTGAAATCGGTATGGTTATACTAACTAATTTATTCAATCTCTTACTCTTACATATACGTTGATAACTATCTTTATAATTATCAAAACTAACGCTTAATAACTTATCATCATCTTCTATCTCTTAATTATTAATTTCATAAACTAAAACAATTTCATAGTATTTATATTTTCAAATTTAGTATTTGTTTATAAGTAAATTCATTAATTTACGACAGATTAAAACACAAACAAATTGTTAAACAAATTTAATGATAAGTTATTTATTAATTATTATATGTCTCTTTTTCCAAAATAATCTCCATGTTAAAAGCGAAGTAACAAAATAACAAATAAATAAACCTAAAAGAATTTTCTGTAATTCAAAATTCGAAACCTCAAAAGAACCTTTCTTTATCATTTCTTCTATTATATTTTTCTCCTTTGTTTCATATTTTATATAAAAAATAATCATACTTGAAATAAAGGTGTAAAATACTGCTGTAATAATATGAACCAGAATGTCTCGAATAAATTTGTAAAAGCTAGACAAAATAAATAATATTCCACATACAATAAGATAATATCCATCTTCTTTTGATAAACGAAAAATCAGACTTTTAGAATCTTTTAAATACTTTAAACTTGTTTTGAGACTAATCAGCGCTAAAAGTAAAATCACTAATATTCTATCATTACTCATAAAAAGATTAAATAATCCAAAGATAATAACATAATACAGACATTCAGTAAAATTAACCCATTTTACGTTATCTTCTACTTTTAAATTTGTAAAAACATCTTCATTTTTACAAATAACAAAATCAATAAATCTTATTGTTTTTTCTTTATTAATTCCGCCTTTCTTTATAAAATCACAACGAATAAAAGTTATAGTGATAAAAAATTCATAAAGTAACAAACCACCTGGTATTAATATGGCAATGTCTCTAAAATAATAATTTGTTGCAAATAATCCTAAAGGCATACATAAACTTACAATAATAAAAACATATATATTTTTGTTCTTAAAGATGTAAATTGGCATACTACAATCACTAATTTTAAATATTTTATGAATTAAAGATCCAATAAATGTATACACTGTCCAAAATGTAAAATAAAACATTTTAAAAATTTCTGTTATTACATTTGTTAGAATCTCCATTTTTAGGGGTTAAAAATGTTTTGTTTTAAAAATAATTATTTAATTAATTAGAATAGTAATAAAATTAGAAGATTTACTTATAAACGAATATTAAATCTGAAACTAATAATACTATGAAAATGTTTTAGTTTATGAAATTAATAGTAAAGAGATAGAAGATTATGATAAGTTAATGAATGTTATTTTTGATAATTATAAAGATACGAATAAACGTATATGTAATAGTGAGAGATATAATAAATTCGTTTGTACATCCATAGCGATTCTGTAAATTATTATTTTAAATTTATAATAATTCAAATCAAATGTTTTTTCAGTTAAATATAAAAAATTTAAGAGAATTTAAAGATACAAATAAAATGATTGTTAAAATTAATAAAAAATAATTCAGATTTTTAATAAATAAAATTCTTTTCAAAATTATATTGTTATATAACAATTATTTATATTAGTATTAATATTAATTAATTGTAGTATATACAATTGTATTAAATCAATAAAAAATAATTGATAAAATAATATTTTAAATAAAACGTTTGAAAAATATTGAAATATGGAATTTAATTATAAGTTTATATAGTATAAATTTGTTAAAAATTGGTTTTAATAAATTTCAATGTTCAATAACAATAATTATTATTTATTAAATACAAAACTTTTATAATAGAATTATATTTGTAGCTTTTATAAAAAGTATAAAAAAAACCAATTAAAAAATTTTTGAGTCAAAGAATTGTAAAGTCTCATATTATCAATCTTTTTTAACAAATCAGAATCATTATATTTTCAAATTTTATAAAAAACATCATTTAATGTGTCAATTTAAACAAAAAATAGATTGTTACTGATATATTTATGTTCAAAAAAATGAACCGAGATATTTTTTGAATAAAAAACTTTAAAAAAATATTTTAGTATAAATTTATACAATTTTTTGTTTTAAAACATATAAAATTTAATACAAAAAAGAAATTTAATAATATATCAATAAATTATACTTTTAATTA